CTCCACACACACACTCATGGCAGATTCCTTAGCTCCATGTTCCAGGTCATTCACTGTCACCCTCCTTACCCTTCCAGATTCATTTCACTGACATGCACCCTCTCTGCCCCCACAGTTGCCATCTACCCAACACTCTGGTCATCGTAGGTATTTACTTCCATCTAAACATGACTTGAAATCTCCACCTCCATTCTTTTGCTTATGGTGTGCCCGGGATTGGAATGCCCTTGTCCCCGGTTAAAGTCATTTTTACCTTTCAAGGCACAGCTCAAATGCCAGCTCTTCTAAGGTGCCCTCTTTGACCCCTCCCCCACCAGAACTAACCACTTCCTCCTGGTGCAGCCCCAGAGCAACTCAAGTCACATGTTAGCAAGTATCACAGGATACTTTGTATTAGTTGCCAGTTGTCCTGAATCTACCTTCCCCTTAAACTGGAAGAGCGGGAGAAAGAAAACTGGACATATTTTTCATCTTTGGGGTCTGCAGTGTGGATACACAAGAGGTGAACCAAATGGTCATGGAACCAGATTGAAATTGCCTCAAACATAATTATGGAGAAAGTTACTTCTGTTTAACTTTCCTCCTATTCATAAGGATTTTGAAAGCTAAATGTAGACACACATATGATTATTTAAAAACGTTTAATGTAGAAAATTTGTAAAATCTAGAAAAGTATGAATAATAAAATTATCTATAAAGCACTGATCAACAATTGTTAACAGTTTGTTAAATGTTAATGTATTTTCTTCTTGTCTTCTATGTTTATAAAATTTACTAACTAAAAACATATAAATGGGATCATCTTACATAGACTCTTTTGTAAGAATTCCTTTCTCAGGACTGTTTTTACAGACATTAAATACACTTTGAAATCAATTTTAATGGTTACCAAGGTCCCACTTGTCTATGCCTAATTTCCACCCCATGCCTTGTATACAGCGAATCGGCCAGGCAGCCTAGGGGAAAGACAGCAGGGTCCCTAGGGCCTTAGAAATTGTTGGCAATAAAGGGGAAAAGATATGATTTTTGTAAGGATCAACAGGCAAGTCTTCACTTAGGTAGAAGTTGGTCCTTTAGCAAATATTTACTTACTCTTGGGGGTCTGCTAGGCCTTGGGCTGGGAGGTGCAGACACGAGGTAGAGACAGCCCCTACCTCTCAGAAGCTCTGCAGAAACCACCTGTACTATCATGGGCTCTGTCTAGGCTGCCTGCCTTCCAGAGAGCAATTTGACATGAAGAGGGGTTGGGGCAGGGGAAGGTTCATGGAAAGGACCCCAGCAAGCCATTGGTGCTGACCCGCTGGGGAAGGAGTGAGGTTACCAGGATTCCTCCAGGATGAGCATGGAATTGGCAACCCCATAAGCATCTACCTTAGTCATTTTCCCAAGAGGGGTTGTTTCCTTTTTTTTTTTTTATTGATTCCTTAAGTATTTCCTGAGTTTCTTTGGTTAAATCAGGCAAGATGGAGCAAGGGGCAGGACTACCCAAGTTACCACACCCCTTGCTTTTCTACCTTGGGCCTTGTTAAACTGCCTTTGGTGGTGCTAGAAGGAGGAGTGGGTCTAATGATGGCAGGGAAAATCCAGATAGTTCCAAAGTCACAGCTGCTTGCTGTCATCTACCATTCATGCCCTAGCACTTGCCCTGAGCTAGGGAAATCCCAGAAAGGAAACATCCTGTCTTCCCTAGGGTCCAGCTGGAGCCCACCTTTTTCTAGCCTGACTCCAACAGCTCTCCATCAGCATCATGTTCACAGTAAATAATGACATATGCGCTCAATGAGCCGAGTTAGGCAGAGACTCATCAAAAGCCTCCCATCTCTTTCCCATTTCCTCTGGAAACCACAAGTATTCCCAGCAGGCTCTGGCACAGGTAGGTAGTGGGATGAGGACAGGAAAGGAGAGGAACAGGAACATTGGTTAAGGGAGGTTGAGGGCAGACTGGGAACAGACTCTCTAAAGAGTTTGTGTTAGCCCATTTTCCATTACTGTAACAAATACCTGAGATAATCTGCTTATAAAGAAAGGTTTATTTTGGCTCATGATTTCAGTGGTTTCAGTCCATGATCAACTGTCCCCATAGCTTTCTGGCCTGTGCTAAGGCTATTGTCACAGCAGGGGTGTGTGGCAAAGAAAAACTGCTCATTTCAAGGATGGGAAGTAAAAAACAGAGGAAGAGGGAGGGGCTGCGGTCCCAGTATCCCCTTCAAGTGCATGCACCCTATAACCTAAAGACTTCTCACTAGGCCCCACCTCCTAAAGGCTCCACCACTTCCTAATGGCATCAAAGCTGGGAACTGAATCTTTAACACACGTGCCTTTTGGGAACATTCCAGATCCAAACTACAGCAGAGTTTAAATATTACTCTCCAAGCAATGGGGAGCCGTCCACTCTATTCAACAGGGTAGATTCATCACGCCTATCCTTCAGGAAAACAACTGCTAGCACTGGGGAGGATAGGTTGGTAGGCAGGGCCCTGGTGGCAGGGCCTGAATCAGGGCAGAGTGTGAGAATAGAGAGGAAGCAGATTCCAGAGAAATCCAGGGAGTAGAAACCCCTGCGTTTACTGCACAGTTTGCATGTGGGAGAGGAGGAAGGCAGCATGTGAAGTCTAGGTGGGTGAACGGGAAATGTCCTTGTCCAGGACGGAGATTCTGGCAAAGGAGATTGTGGAGATGGTGGCTTGTCATAATAAAGGTGAGGTGGTCCTGGAGAGCCTGTCCAACAGCAGCAGTGTTTCCTAGTCAGGGAACTCGAGAGGGAAGGGGGTGCAGGAACGGGTCATCAGTACACTCCACTGAGAGCAGAAGCAAGAATATAAATACTAGTAACAACCTTGCAGTTCTGAAACATGTAACATGCAAGGCACTGTTCTGTGCACTTCACGTGTATGGACTTGTTTCATTCTCAGCACAATCTTTGGAGGTAGGTATTACCTTTAACCCCAAATACAGATGAGAAAACTGAGGCACAGACAGAGTTAAGTAACTGGCCTGAAGTCCTGTAGCATGCAAACCCTGAGGTGCTGGTACCTGCTCCTTTCTATTAACCTCTGTGCACATCCTGGCTTGAAGAGGGGTATTGTGGGAGGGACAATGAAAAGGCTGAGTCCTGGAGAAGACCCTGGGAAGACGTTGCTGAGGAAATGAGGGAATGAGTACGAAAACCAAGAAACTAGGAAGTCATGGAGGTGGGAATAATTTTAAGGGGACATTAATAGCACTCAGGGCTGCAACAGAGCCAAGGAGCGGGGTAAGCAGGAGGCCCATGGGTTGAAGTGCCTCCTATCAAGAGCAGCCCTTGGGACAATGAGGAAGAAGTTCTGATTGCAGGAAGCTGTGAATAGAATGAGGCTTGAGGAAGCAGGACTGTGTATGGTCACATCTCAGAGGAAGTCTATTATGAATGGGGAAGACAGAAATAGGGCAATTACTTGAGGGCAGAGCAGAATGGGGCAATGTATTTTTTTTTTTTTTTTAGAAGGGGTATCTTGAAGTGTTGGTAGTTTAAAGTAGAGAGACTGGGAGAAGAAAGAGCTAGGAGAGTCTTCTGAAGCAGGCAGGAGGTTTGGTGGGAAAGCAAAGAGGACATCTCACCCTCAGGTAGAGCTGAGTTCATAAGGGCCTAAGCCAGGCAGAAGCCGGGGACTTGAGGAAGGGAAGAGGGTGAGAGGAAGGAACGGGACTTGATAATCAACAGAATGCTTGGGGAGGGGTATGGAATGAGGTACTGAGGTTTCCAGCCTCTGAGCCAGAGTAGCATTCAGATAGGAGGCCTGGGGAGGGAATGTCTCCAAGTTTGCTGCTAACCTCTTTGAATGTGAGGCATCCAAGTAACCCACAGGTGGAGACCCTGGGTAGGCAGTGTGTATGAGGGCTGGGTCACAAGGGGAAAATTTGACCTCGATCCTGAGACTCAAAAGGAGTGGGCATGTTGTCCAGCGGGTGTGAGATGCAGGAAAGCGGTCTGAGGAAAAGATTCCAGGACAGACCCAAAAGGAGGAGTGTGTTTGCAAGGCCCCATCGCAGTGACTGGTTTTATTAATGACTACAATGATAATATATTTAAATATTTTATGAGCAATCCAGAGGTGAGTACAAACAGGGAAATCTCCAAGTTTGCAGATACATTTTTCTAGTCCTGAAATGCCAAAGTAACAGGGATGAATTACAGGAGGATCTTGCCAATAAGCAGAAAAATGGCAGATGAACTGCATGGTAGGTGACACACTTAGTAGCATCATCTAGACAGTACTGACCAGGAGGATAAGTCATGATCTCTCAGTTATGACTTGGAAAAGGAGCCTGTAGCATAGGGGCATGGGTCACTGCCCCCCTAGATTCAGAATCTTTAACCTAGAGTCTAGGAATCATCTCCTGGGATTGTGAGGCCCCAGAAATCAAATGTACCATGGAGAGATGGGCAGAGAGAACAGGAGATCCTGGGGGGGGGGGTTGGGCACCCAGTTCTGGAGCTCAGCCCAACATGTTATCCTAACACTGGGACTCTGAAGTCCTCCTCCCTATGCACCTATGTTCCCAACTTGCTGATGAAATTTACCCTTGACATGCAAATGATGGAAACACATTGGGGTGCTTTGGTTTGTGGTTTTTACCATCAGGTGACTCTGTGGCTGAGCATACTGATTCTTCTCAGCAAGGCTAGCGGACTGCAAGCCTTCAGAGGAAGGAAGGGGGTTATTCCCAGGGGTCCCCACCAGATGAGCAAGTGGGTCGCTAAGGCAGGCTTTTCCAGCAGAAGGATTTCAGGTCCTTTGCAAGCTGTTGGGGGCAGAACTGGAAATGATATGACCTTCACCATTCCCAGATTCAGTAAGTAGCTCCTTTCCAAGGCAGGGGCCTTGGTGGTCAGGTCCTGTCCCACCCTAACCTATTCCCAAACTGGAATCTCAAAATAAATCATGTGGCAAAACAGCCAAAGTCGATTTTCTATTTATTAAACAACTTGTTCAATGGAAAACTTTCCTGGGGCTCAAAGTGGTGGAGTATGCAGGGGAGGAGGACAGAAGAGGAGCTGGGGAGATGGCAGGTGGTACCTGTTAGTGCGAATGTGTCATAGCTTTGATTTCCTGCCCCCACCGCACCATTCCCTCTGACCTCAGCATTGGATTTTGTTTCCTCTCCTGGGCTGTAACTCCCAGGGTGCGGCCCTTCCCCCATACTCCTGCTGTCCCAAGCCCCAGATGTCCGTCCACATTCTGCACCCTCACCCTGAGTTCCTGATAGATACCTAAAATCTCTCGGGCGAGCCCTGCTCTTAGGTCCCCTCCCGTCCAAGTCTCCGAGCGTTCGGGTCTCGCCGCCCCGCCAGTTCTCGACATTGCTCCTAGAGCCCGGAGGGGCAGGACGCTCCGCACCCCGCTCTGCCGGGGACACCGAGGCTCCCCACTCACTCACTCCTCCCTGCCCGCAAGCCGGGGAGTCTCTGCAGCTGGTGCGGAGTGACACCGAGGGGACGGTCCTACTCTTCACCAGGTGCTCCCCTCTCCGCCCCTACACCCGCATCGGTTTCTGCCTCCCCCCGCCCCACCCCCCCATTCCTGCTTCCCTTCTCTCTGGACAGGGCTCGGGCACCCAAGAGGGTCTGGGGGCGCCGCAGCCTGGCCCCCGCCCCGGCCGCAGCCCCGCTCCTCCCCACGCAGCCCCACTTGTGGCCCCGCCGGCAGCCGCGCAGGGACAGCTGCATTTCTCGCCGCCCGCCGCTAGGAAGCTGGCCTCGCCTCGCTTTCTCCGCCTCCCCGCGCCCAGCCGCGCCACCGCGCCGCCGAACCGGGCCCGCCGCCGCCGCCGCGAGATCGCCGCCCCTCCCCCTCCCGCCGCCGGCCGCCCCACCCGCCCGCCCGCGGGGAGCGGACGCGCGTGCGGTGCTCGGTAAGACCCTCCCTCGCTCCCGCCGCCTGCTGCCCGAGCCCGGGCGCGGACCCCGCCGGCGCCGCGCGCAATCCCGGCTGGGCGGCCCCACCTTCCCGGGACCCCTCGCCGAGGCGCTGCCGGGAGGGCCGGGCCGTCGCGAGTTTGATTCCCGATGCTGTCGCCAGGCTTCCCGGGAACCCGCGCCGCCCCAGCCGCGTGCGGCAGGCAGGTCCCTGCCCGCTTTCCCCACCCTCCCGAGCCCCCACCTCATCCCAGGCCCTGGGCGCAGGGGGCGTGTGGGCACTTAGGACTGGGAGCCGGGCGCGCGATTAGAGGGGTGGTCGCCGGCCGGCGCCTTGGGGAAGGGAAGCGAGGCCTCTCGGAGCCGGAGCCGCAGCCTCCTGAGTCCTCTCTCCCGCCGCTCCCCCTTTTGTGTGGACGCCCCTCCCCGCTTTGCCCTGGCCTGGGGGGCGCAGGCTGGGCGGGCGATGGCGGGCGGGGACCCAGGCTGGGAGCTGAACTCCTTTTAGGGGGAGGGGAGGCTCGCTTCCTGCCCACGCCAATGTCACAGGTCGGCTCAGCCTTTCTGGTCCCACCCCGTCCCCTGGGAGCTGCATCTCCCGGCTACTCGGCTAGGGAAAGTTCAGAACGTGCTGTCCCCGCCCCTCGGTGCTAAGCTTAGGGGCTTGATGTTTGCCTTTATTCCCTCTGTCTGTTCGTCATTTTCTCCTGTGCATGGTTGCCTCGCACCCAGCACTGGCTTGTCCGTTTCTTTTCCCCTTAAAACAGTTTCAGCTCCAGGAAATTTATACTGGAATTAATTTCTTGAGAATTTGTTTTAAAAGGAGGGAGGTCTTGGATTTTCCTTTTATTGGGGTGAGAATGGAGGTTGAAGGCTGAGTGTGAGTTTAGAAACGGGGTGATACTGGGTAGAAGATCATGTGTGTCCCTTAGCATCTCGGAGTGAGGGGAATAAACCTTTCCTTCTTTATATTGCAGCACCTGTCCCAGGAGCAAGGACTCCTGAAAGTATTCTGAGCCTCTTACCCCTTTTCTTTACACCTGATGGAGTTAGCTAGGCCTCCTTGTAAGTTGAGGGACACTGGGAGTTATTTTGGAGAGGAGGTCATCTCACCATGAGGTTTGGCTTCTGTGAAGTTGGAACCTTCACTTGAATGGGGGATGGCATCTCTGAGATAGAGACATGCTGCTGGGAGAAATCTGGCTAGGTTTCTAGGAAGCTGGAGAGCGTATGCAGCAGGCTTGGGTTTGAACCCTCCTGTCCACTTTCTGTGGCTGAAAGGAGCAGTAGACAAGGGATCAAGGTACATGCTTGAATAGAGACCTGGAATAGTGATATGACTGAAGGAAGGGAAATGGGGAGGAGGAGTTGGGGCCAGAGGTGGAGTCATGGGCTCTCTCTACACACACACATACAGGAACACAACTGTGTTCAATATCAGAGAGTTAACATACCCCCTTGGGTTTAGGACCCCCAAATAAGACCTAGAGTATGTGGTCTAGCCTAGGCCATTCAGAACAGATCCTTCCTTTGTGGCTGGTTACAGATCCTTCTTTGTGCTGGTCAGTGAATAATTGCAGGGAGTAAAGAGCAGAACTTTCTCTCTTTTGGTGATTCTGGGGTTTGAACTCAGTGCCTGATGTTTTCTAGCCAGTTGTTCTACCACTTGAGCCACCCCCCCAAGAACTGTTATGAGGTCTTTTCTCATGACCCTCCTATGCCACTTTGGGCTGGAGGCCATGGAGACCTGAAAGCTCTGGACCAGATCCCAGTTCTCTAGCTAGCTAGAGGACAGGGGCAGCTGAGGTGGCCCTTCTCTAGGGGCTGAGTTTGTTATCTGTGTGGTGGGGAGGCTCTGGAGACTGGGCTGGGACCAGTCTTTCTTAGAGAAAAACAAAAGGACTAGGATAGGAGTGGATATTCTGGGGTTTCAGCTGTGTTAGCAGCCAGTCCTTTTTGGAGCTCCTGCTTATCTTGGGGAAATGGGGTGGAGGGGCCTTAGAGGAGAATGCTAAGTGTGAAAGACTTCTCTTGAGGAGACCTGAGGAAGATTGTCCTATAACAGAATTTGGGTATTGTAGGTTCCTTCTATCCCTTGGGACTTCAGAAGGCAAGTGCAGGCTAGAGGAGCTGGCTGTCCCCACCCTCAGGGCAGCCCCAAGGATGCCTGGCCTGCCTTTCCTTTCTTCCCTGTAGTTCTCTGGACTCTGGGCTGCTGCACAGGTGTTGGTGGCATTTACACTTGCTAAGGATGGTCTGCCATGTATGACTTCACCTTGGTACTGAGAAGTCCTCCTTAGGCTCAAGTCACCTCTGATGTTCCAGAGCAGTATAAGAGACTCCTAACGACGTGGCTAAGGTTCTTATCTTTAAAACCAGCCATAAACAATTCTCATAAAATGTGACAATGGCATTTCTATTATGGCAGCACCAAGAATCTCTAAAAGTTCCAAAATTCCAACGCCACTGGCCTAACCCTCAGCCCCTAGGAAGCAGTCCAGCTCACAGGGATTTTTCTGTTTCTGGCATGTGGTACCACTCACACCTGTTTCTTCCTTCAGAGTTTCCTACAGTTGCTCTGCTCTAGCACTAAGTAACACAGCTGAGAGTTTTCTAGAGCCTCGGGCATAGGGATCATTTCTGACTGTACAAGGTGACCTGGAGCAGGTGGTACTTCTGGCTTGCCGGCTCCTATGCTTAAGGCAAGTAAGAGCCATAAGGGACCCTATGGAGACCCTAAAGGGCTGTAGTCCAGTAGTCCCTCACTTGGAACTTGTAAGACCTCTTGGTGGCATGCAAGAGTCCTGTGTGCCGTGATTGAGAATTCACCTTCCCCAAAAGCCAGGACTTGTCTGTCTGCTGCAACCCTGGTTGCCACAGGTTGGGGAGTTCTGGATGTTGGTTGCATTGGCTCACTTTGTTTCTCAGATCCCCTCTGCTTCCAGCCTCCCAGGAGCACCTCTGGCATACCATAACTCCTAATGATGTGGCTAACACGCTTATCTTTAAAACCAGTCATAAACAATAGGTGCACTGACAATGCTGGGAAACATCACCCCTTCTCATAAAACGTGACCATTGCATTTCTATTATGGCAGCATCAAGGGTCTTCAAGGAATTCTTTGTGGGATACCAAAGTTCCAACTCTGCTAGTGTAACCTGAACCCCCTAGGAAGCAATAGTCATTTTGTAACCATTTCTACCAGGACTTCATGGTTTTTGTTTTGTTTTGTGGTGCTAGAGATTGAAGCTCCGCACATGATAAGCACATGCTCTACTACTGAGTACACCTCCAGCCCCACAGCTTAGTGGATCTGAAGTTAAACATCCCCAGATAGAATCCAAGCTCTCTATCTTACTCTAAGCCTCAGTGTCTCATGTTTAGAAGGGATCAAAAGAGATCTAATGTGTGTGCCAGGCAGAGAAAGTGTTCATTTGATAGAAGCTCTTGCTATTATTATTTCTACACATGTGTGTAGAAGTTCTGAAGCTCATTATTAAGGAGACCTTTGGTCAATACTGTAGAGCCGAGGCTAGCTTTGGAGAAAGGGGGTGGGGGAACTGTGAGCAGAGGAGACCAAACAGTGGAGGGTGAGGATATGTGGAGGTGACAATTAAGCATAGTAGGAGCAGAATGACAGCATTTGTAGTCCTGTCATGGAACCAACTCTTACCCTTCTCGGGGAAAGTTTGCCCTATAAGCCGGGGGAGAGGGTGTTGAATAGCTTTTTATAGCTTTTCATATTAATACTAGTGTTGGTTCAGAGGGACAGGTTAAGGGTGCTCTGCTAAAAGGCTGACAAGGCAGTGGCCAGGCAAGGCTGGAACAGGCCTGGAAAATTCCACTTAACACAGTCTGCTGAGAACCACTGGCCAAGCCTGACTAGATACTAAGGTCACCAAACAATGACCCTGCCCTCAAGAGGCCTCCAGTCCAGCCTTTTAGCAGAGCACAGTCCCCCTCACTCTGAGCCCCACCCCACCTCGGCAGGGGCCCCTCTGAGGATGTCTCCAAGGTATGAGCCTGCAGCCAGTCTTCTTGAACTCCAGGTCTAGCTCTGCCACTTTCTAGATACATGGTCTTGGGCAAGTAATTTAACTTCTTGGTATCTCTATGTCTGTTTCTTCACCTGAAAAAAAATGGATGTAATATCACACAGGTTCTTGTGAGGATTACACAAGCTTAGCCACACAGAGACTAAGGACACATGCAACCACAGCGAGTGATCTGACCTTTCAGAAAGTGTTGAGATTGTGGTTTTCCATGTATTCCTTCATAGGCAGCCCATGTGCACCTTCCACTGACTGCCTCACCCTGCCCCACCCTTACTAGGTGCCCTGCCACCCCTACATTTCATCACCCCTCTTGGTAGCCTAGAATTCCAGTCATCATGGCAAGTGTTGTGACAAGATGAAGTGCTGGGGCTTGTGGTGTAGCTCAGAGGAGAGTGCTTGCCAAGCATGTGTGAAGACCTGAGTTCCACTTCCATGAAACAACAACAAAACCTAAGATGAAACGCTGAAGAAGGGAACACTTTGCCAACCAGAAGAGCTGGCATATACAAGGCTTCCTAGAGGAGGGGACACTGAGCAGAGTGAG